TAGGAATCTCAAGGTCTCTCCTGCCCGGGCTGGCTTTGAACCGCGATCCTCAGATCTCAGCCTCCTGAGTAGCTAGGATTACAGGCATGAGCCACCAGCGCCTGGCAAACTTACTCTTCTAATTTGATGACTCGGGCAAAAAAAAATGTGAAAACAATTAACACTTTAAAAAGATATAAGGAAGTGGAGCTGTGGCTCAAAGCAATCTTGAGCAAGAAAACTCTGAGCCAGCACCCAAGCCCTGAGTTCAAGCCCTACAATTGACAAAAAGAAAAAAAAAAAAAGGAATTAGGATTGTAGGTGACAAAACAAAAACATGTTACCACTAAACCAGACACTGGTGGCTCACATGTCTGTAATCTTACTCAGGAGGCTGAGATTTTAGGATCATAGTTTAAAGCCTGCATAGGCAGGAAAATGGGACTTTCACCTCCAAGTAATGACCAGATAACTGGAAGTAGAGCTGTGGTTCATGTGGTAGAGTTCTAGCCTTGAGCATAAAAGCTCCAGGACAGTACCTGAGTTCAAGTCCCATGACCGATACATAAAAGGTACCTATTAGATAAGGTTATTTACTAGAATCTAAAAAATACTGTGCTTGGTCTGGGAATATGGCTTAGTGATAGAGTGCTTGCCTAGCATGCATGAAGCCCTGGGTTCAATCCTAAGTACCATATAAACAAACAATACACAACTTGCAGTTGATAGGTAGCATTCTCCCTACCAAATAAAGGACATAAAAAATGTAACTTTTGAGTTTCAATATTTGCTAACCCATAAACCACAGGAAAAAAATATATGTATTTGTGCTGGTACAGGAGCTTGAACTCAGGACCTCATACCCTTGTTCATAAGCTCATGTTTTACCACTGAACCATGCCTCATTTCAGATTTTTGCTGGTTAATGGATTTTTCTGCCTGGGGGGCTCCAAACCTAGTTCAGCCTCCTGAGAAGCCAAGATTAAGGATAAGCCACCAACGCCTGGCCCAAAATGTTTTATCTCTATCTCTCCAATAACAAAAAGACACATTTCCTCTAAGTGTATAAATTAAAAACCAAATAAAACCTAGATCTGGGCCTGAGAAGGTGGCTCAGTGGTAGAGTGCCTGCCTTGCATTCTTGAGGCCCTGGGTTCCATTCCTCAGCACCACATAAGCAGAAAAAACTAGAAGTGGCGCTGTGGCTCAAGTGGAAGAGCACTAGCCTTGAACTGAAGAGCTGAGGGACAGTGCCCAGGCCCAGAGTTCAGGCCCCACAACTGACAAAAAACAAAACAAAAAACTTAGATGTTTTCCAAAACTCATTTTTACATGGCTTTACAACTCTTATTAGAGTTACAGTACAACTGAGAAGTATAAGACATACTGCAGTATTCCTAGTGCTGAGAAATTTGGAGAATAAAAAGCACATGGTAGTATTTTAATATATAGTAATGCATATGCTAGGGCAAAAAACACATAGCAAATTGAAGCATAATACTTAAAAATGTACTTTAATTTCCAAACCCAGAAATCACCAATAGTGAATAAAGTCTTAAGCTCAGTTTTGTTGGACTATTTGGTTTTCTTAACATACAAATATATTTTAGTTTTATTACTTTTAAGTAAAGGTTGAATACTATAATTAAAAGACAACCCCAATATATTTACTATAGTATACTTTATTTAATACAATGTTTAACTATAAAAATTAATACAGTTTTGGAGTTTAAATTTTGTAAAATGCAGTTTGCAGAAAACAGTTCAATAGTTGCTAATGACAAGAAGCAGCATTTTGAAACTAATTTACAATTGAAACAATTTTATTTCTAAGTTTCATTAAAAAAATATACATCACAGTGACTTTTTTAGCTAGGAAGTGTACTTAACTTCATTATGCTTTCCCTTCCACAGAGAGCAACCTGTTTCATATCCCATGTAAAAATCCCCAGTTCATCTATCCATTTCTCACAATACTAGAAACACAAAGGGGAAAAAAATATACAGCATGTACTTTTGCTAACAAGAGATTTGCTTTCAAAATAATAATTTAAAAAAGTACATACACAAATCAACCCTACCACACCCTCCACATTGATAAACATCACCATTTTCAACAGCTTTCTCCAACCTTGTTGGTGGAAGTCTTTCCTTTTAGATACACAAACTAGAATTTGCATTTGCCTAAATTTCTCCAAGCCAGCCTAAGGCCCACTGCACACACATAGGTGTACCAGGCAACACTGCATTTCTGGGGCTGGCTTTACTATTATTATTTTAAACAAGTATTTATAACAAAACACATCTTTCTACAATAAAAGTCAATTAACCTGCAATCAAAGGAGAGTTAAACTATAAATGTATGAACCCTAAGTGGAATAATTACAGTAAACATAGGCAAAGCAAGACACACACAAAAAACCCCCACTGTGTCCATAGCTCTTTAAAAGTCTTCCTATGAAGGTAAACCCATCCAGTTTCGACAGAAATTTACTATAAGATCAGTGTGATGAAAACTAGGACCACTGGGCAAAAAGTACAACAAACTAGTAAAACAAATGGTAATTTGCTCCAAATACTAACTAGACAATAAATTAGCATTATTAATACTATTACCCCAAATACCAGAAACCCTGTCTGTCTGTAGCATCAAGAAATCTTGTTTTAGTTTCACATCTTCAATGGTCACTCAGCAAAGCCAACATGTATAGCTTTACACTTTTGCAAACTTAAATCCTTTACAACATGAGAGCTTCAATTATGTAACTTAAGAACAACTATATAGTTCTATGAACCTACCAACTATAGTATTTTAAAGCAAAGCAGTAGCTTCTTACCATCCACTTCATTAATTTCTCTGTAGTGTGAATTTCTGTATCAGAGAGCTTACCCAGAAAAATAATCTTACTCAGAAAAACAATTCGCACAATCATGAAAATTCTACCTGCTAAAAAAAACCAAAAAAACTCAGTTACCGCCAATTAAGCATTAAAAATGTTTAAAAAATATTTTTTTAAAAGCCAGACTTAGGGCTGG